ACGTCTCCTTTGGTACTCTATCGGTTTCCTGCTCGCTTGGGGCTGGCAGCAGCCGCCGACTGTAAATACAGCTGCTGGTAGCTGAGGTGCTCCTTGGGCCGGCCTGAACGCGGCAGGTTCTGTACAAAAACTGCTGGTGTTTGCTTGGCGCACTAGAAAGCGAAAGCTCTCATCCGGCCAGCCGGGCCCTGCGAGTCCCTTCGGCTCCTGGCTATGCTAGGGGTGCGGGGGAGACCTCGCGTGGGAGCCATTACTGTGGCGTTAAGGAAGTGAAGATCGGTTGTACAACGGCAGCGAGATCTCAGTGGGAAGGGAGAGAAGCCGTACTCTTGGCATCTGCAGTATTGCATTCAGTCAGAGGTGACTCGTTGGATTTTTGAAGAGTTGTCTGTTTCTGATGCTGGAGTTTCTCTCCAGCAGCTGTTTTTAGCCCGAAAAAGTTCTCATTGTATAGTACGTTTCTTACAAATGTTATTTGTTTAATGGGCTATTAAAATTGCCTTAAAGGTATTCAGAATGACTGCTGAGTGGCATTTAAAGGAGGTAACAGACCTTGCAGAAGCTGGGTATGGTTAACTAAAAAAAGTGAGAATTCCTGCACTAGTCAGCAATTGGGAGAGCATTATTCAAACTGCACCGTAGTATATAGCTACTTCACCCTATGGTATTTGATCAAGTTCTTCTCTGTAAACATAAAGTAGCTTAGAAAAGGTAAAACTCAGTGTTCTTAATTTGACTGATAGAATGGTTGCCTATCTGAGAATTCTAGCAAATACTGAATTGATAGTAAATGGAGGGTGCCCTCCTAACTAGTTGGAGAGGGGTGGTTGTAAAATCATAGGTGTCACTTTGCTGTTTGCTTCCCCCTGCCCACCCCTTTTGGGTAAACAAGGCCTTCCCAGATCACGCTTTTCTCCTGCTTATGCTTGCTGATCTGTTCCTGCTACATGAAAATACTTTCCTCAGTTTTCTTTCCAATAGAAAGAAAATGTATTCATTTTTGGTGATAATTTATTTGTCAGGAAAATGAGTGGCTACAGAGGAGGAGTGGACAAAAATTAAGACACTGCTGGCTAGTGTAATGGACAGTTGAGTCAGTTAACATAGTTTCCATGATCCTTTTTCCATCTATCAAGAGCACCTTTTACCAGAAGCCTATGATAAACAAGTAAGAATGTTGAGGTCTGCTTATCCAGCAAGAACTTACTGTTTTGTTTTGTTTCGTTTCTTTTTAACCACAAAGATCGTAGAGTAGTAAAGGTAGCCTCACCTCATTTATAAAAGTGCTTTAAAAATCAAACCCCAAATCTGGAACGTTCTTCTGAAAGGTTTTACTTCCTTCCTCATGCCAATATTTGATTTGTTGTCAGTGTTGTCTTATTCCTAGAATTTTACTTAATGTGATAGAATGCCTATATAGCCACCTTAATGGTATTTAACTGAGGAATAAAACCATGTGGCTCTAATTAGCCTCTAAGTGCTGTTCTTCTATCCTCAAAGTGAGTTTAAGGTTGTGATCAGCAGGTTTAAGCTTTGTGGCCTGAGTTTGGTTCATTTTCCTTCATTTTTACTATTCAATTTTATAAGTGATACCGTGTTGTTAATGAAGCATTGCTAATCTCTGACTCATGCTTGCTTGTAGGTCATCACAGTTGTGTCTTGTTGACTTTATCAAATCTTCCCCCCACCTCAGCCTGTAACCACAGTCTAGGAATGTGATTTTCATCTGCCTTTTATACTTCTCTAGGTAGATGGAAAATTCCACCAAGCTCTTAGCACTGTTATATGCTTCATATAGGTGCAAATATTTATACTAGGTACAAGGTGGGGGGAAAAAACCACCCAGGATGCTGGTTTATCTGGAACAAAGTTCACAGGGAGAATGCTAAATTAGTGTTACTGAATGGAGTATTCTGTGGTTTCTTAGAAACTTGATGCTGATGATCCTTTCTCAAAGGCTTTAGTAGGTAAAGTGACTTTGTAGACATGAAGCAATTTGGTGGTACTATATGTTCATTTTGAACTGATGTTCTGGTAAGTGTTCCTAAGAAGGCCAAAAAAAAAATCCTTACTGTGAAATGTGAATTCTTCAGTTCATCTGGGATAAGTATGAAGCACTGAACTGAAAGCTTAACCAAGTCAATTGAGTTCAGCTATGGAATTACACAACTTCTCTCTCTCTACATGAAACTATCTCAATTTTATGTAGCACAAAAATGAGTAGCTTATGATACTAACATGAGTGATAAGCCACATATTAATGTTCTTTAGCTGAACAGATTAAAAAGATACCTTCTAGAGGACTTGAAGCATAGTCTTTCAAAAGCTGTACAATGACACTTAATCTCTGGAATGAAATCTAAGTTTGAATTAAAATTCTGTATTAGTTTTTTATATTGTGGTGAAAAACACTTCTTAGCATAATAAGTTTAGAAACATCTGCAAAGGTAATGTTTCCAAGAACTGGGGGGGCGGGAAGTGTCCGCTAAAACCTCTACTTAGTGAGTCCACTTTACCAGACACTAAGCCTGAAGTTGACAGTCCTGAATCTTATATGATGTTGTACAGAAATTGTTTGCATATAAACATTTTGAAATTTGATTTTGAAAAAACCTTCAAGTAGTCCTAATTACTTTTGTATTTCAGTAACAACTATAAGAAACAGATGAGAGCTCCAAGGTGTTGCCTGTTTGTGTTCAGTTGCAAGATTTTGGAAAGCGGTTGGAATGTAACAGTATTCAAACTATTTGGTTCACACCCTTTGTTCCCATGCTTTGAAGCAGTCTACCTAAGGATTAATAATAAGCTAATGCTCATATCAGAGCTTAGGAGAAAAAGTATTTTAGTGGAAATGGGTGATGGATTTTCTGATGGGTATTTACATATTTTCTAAGTATATAAATATCATGTATTTATATGAGTGTATGCTAATGTTTTAGACAAGAGTTTCAGGATGCCTAATTGCAAAAAACCCTCATGCTGTAACAGAAGTAAAATAGAGGGGACAGCTCCTATTCTAGAGGTCTGGGACTTAAATTTTTAGAAGCACCTTAGTGGGATAGCAGTATAGATAAAATTGTTTCAGCTAGCTTTAAGCCTTAACCTTTCATTTGAAGAAGCAATCATATATTGCAGATCTTGTTTCTGGTTCTTCTGTGGTCAACAAGGAATGTCAAAATCGTTATTTTGCATGAGAAGGCTCCGAAGAGTGTCTAGTGATGCAGTTTTCATGAGGGATGAAAGTAAAAAAGGAAATCATGAAAGAATGCAGTGGTGGACCTGAATCATCTTCCTTTCTCACATAGCCATGATAGGCTTTTTGTCTAGTATGATGTTAACAAAGCCACCTCTTCTCCTGTCGATAGCTACATGTTATTTATCACATACTAGCTATTACAGAGGTGTTCCAAAAATGCAGTTGCTGACATTAGTTTGGAAATGGTAGCTGAGGAGAATTCTCACCACCCTCTTTATTTCCAGGGAGGAGTGGGAGTACAGGGCTGCTTATTGGAGATGTAATTCCAGGCTATTATTTTTTCATCATTAGTTGTTGTTGTTGCATATCATGTCTAAAACACTAAAACAGAAATTCAAAGTCTTTAAAATACTGGTCCTGCTGTGTATTGCTTAACTTGAAATTGAGCAAGCTGCCCAGTCTGATTGTAGAGAAGTTGCCTTAGGTGGAACTAAGCAAATTGCCCAACCCTATGCAAAGAATGGAAGTTGCCGAGGAGACAAGGAAAGAAAAAAAAAAAAGCAGTTGCTGGCAGGTCATCCTAAAGGAGGGAACAGTTGAACCTAAACAAATAGCCTGGAAAAAGAACAAACCTGAAAAAAATACTTTGCCTTAGTTGTTGCAGGTCAGACAGCTGCTGTGCAACATGTTCCCAAATAATTTTTAGCAAGTAAAAAGACCACTGTACATGTGCTGGTGAAGGCTTTTAAAACAACTGATCTGAAAATGACACTAAGTCCTAATTTAACATTGCAGAAAATCACACCTTTATTAAGTAAACATTAAAATTTAATTCAGTCTTATTTCATGTATTTATTAACTTCATCTGAGGAGGCTCTGAAAAGCCAAGATCTTCTGTAGGGCATTCTTTCAGTGTTAAAGGAATTGCTGTTCTAAGATAGGTTTAACCTGCTTCCATCATGGACTAACCTAAAGATCTAGGTGTCTGGTATTTTGGGTTGTCTAATATCTCGTTAATGTTGACACCATGATGCTAAACTTAATACTGGCTTTGGAATTTCTTTTTCAAATTGCAGATTTAAAAAGTCTGTACTAACTTTCTGCTTGCTTTGTGTCCCAACTCCCTCACAAACTTCTAGAAATAGACTTTTTAATTTTTAACTCAATGTCCTAGAAGCCTGGAAATTACTTTAGTGAACCCCAAAATGAACAAGCTGTTTAGATTCAGGTAGTCCTGTAAAGAAAGAAAAGTGATCAGGGGCAAAGTGTCTCTGACTGCTTTCCAGATGCATAGAAGCTGAGTATGCTTTCCATCTTTGGACGGAAAAAGGCAACAGGAGTAGACATAAGCAAAAGAGAAGGAAAGATACTACAGCAGAGGCCTGTGGTGTCTTGAATGGTGTAGAGGTCATCAGTGGAGGCTCTGTTAAGATTATTTCTAGCCATAAAAGTATTAAGAGAAATACAGTGGAAGTGTAAATCAAGTATTTCTTCTTTTTAATTGCCATTTACCGAATCAGATAACCAAAGAATGTTAGAGACCAAAAATATAAATGGGTAGAAGGCAGTTGGACAAATTTTTGCAAAATGGACTTATTTGTGGATTCTTGAATATTAAGGTAAAATTTACAGCTTATGAAGTTCCTCAACTGCTGATTGCTATTTGCTTCCAACGTAACTTGTTTTGTGTAATCTTTTTTTGAACACAGCTTCTGGCAACAGAGTAGCTCAGTGTAATGAGGTCTGTTCCTATGAGGAATCATTCACATACTAATTGTGTTTCTTCTTTCTTTTTTTTCTTCAGTCTCCCACAGTCAAATCACCCGCTTGTACAGTCGCTTCACTAGCCTAGACAAAGGAGAAAATGGCACTCTTAGGTGGGTATCATCACTAATTCAGCTCTCCTTGCATTGACACATCTGTAACGGCGGCTTGCTGTTGCAGGATGTCTGCATGCTTTCCTCACATGGTGAATCAGTGAGGCTACTATGACATGTTCTTTCATACCTACTGTCTACATGGACATTCAAGTTTGTTTTCCTTTATAAAAGGTCAGGAGAAGTCTGAACTGAGGTGCCCTAAATAACAATTGTTTTTACTGTAGTGCTGAAGGTTTGTAGCAATAATACAAGAAAGGTCAGATTTGTTATTCAAGGTCTTACAGTAAATGTTCAGAAATGTTAAACCATTTTTTTGGATTGTTATTTCTTACCTTTCTTTATATATTGCTTCTAATAATTATTAACAAGAATGGTTCCACTATGTCGTCTTCATCTTGGCTTTCATAACAAAAAGATCATTCATATTTTTGGGAGCATGGGCTTTTAATTGTTTCTCATACCCAGTGTCTTTTAACACTACTTTGGTCTGCAAGCCCTTTACTTTTCCTAACTTTGCACCTCTTGTTGAATACCCATGTCTATTAATATGCTCAAAAATAAAGAGCTGGAGCCAAGTCACTGTGACTAAACAAATACACATTTTATTCTTTGAAGTAGTAGTGTGGGATGTTCCAAGACTTTTAAAGTGTTTGTCTTCTGTCTACAATTTGAAAACTACAGAAGTGAACCAGTTTCTTACAGCTTAATTAAATAAAGATGAGGCTTAGACTTTATCTGCAAAAAATTTTTTACCTTGATGGACTGAGTCTGCTGGAGAGAGTATTCTCAACTGAGAGGTAAACTCTAGTGGGATGATCTCCTGCTAAAAAGTCTCTGCCTGCTGTCTTTGTTCTCTAGCCTTCCCCACTCTGGTTATTGTATTGTGTGCTGGTATTGGTTTGCTCTTTATTTACTGAACTAATATAAATTCTGATTGTATTAAATTGGTTATTGTTCTTTTCTTTTGATGTTGCCTATAGATTACATTTAATATTATGGAAATGTATGACAAATAAGAGCTGTCCATGATTGTACCAGGGTTGCAATTTTGTGACCAAGATACTTGGTCTAAGACCAGTCTCCCACTGCAAGTCTGTGGCTTTTCTGTGTTTTTGCTGTTATGCAAGGCTTATCTTTGGAAACTGACCTAAAGCTTTGAGAACTTGCCAAGCAAAACAACAAAAAACAGTCTGATCAGTTTTCAGGTGGATTTTTTCCCATCCACCATATAGCCATATATGCGAGAACCAGTGCACAGGGAAGCTGGAGAGAATGCAGGAGAGAGTAGGAAGGGGACCTTGTTGTCGCATAGTATACAGGGTCTGGCTGGGATAGAGTTAATTTTTTTTCACAGCAACTCCATCCCAGTCAAACCCAGTAAACAGATTTCAGGGATCGTCTGGGTTTTGTATATGAGCTTGAAAAATGTGATTGTAGTAATGCAATCACATGCATTATGATGCACTATAAACCTATAAAAGCTAGACCTACCTGTAAACCCACCTAACTATAAAGCTAGAATCACTGCTTAGAAGATGAAGGTGACGAGCTGTAAGATACACTGTCTTTGGTGGTACTGCTGGCTTACTGCAGTTTCTTTTCCTTCAGGAAGCATGCAGTTCCTTCTGGTGCCACAAATCGCTGACTTCTCAGTTAACATTTAAGTAATTGGTTGTGGACTTGTACTGTAAACAGGATTGCTGAGTGATTATTTTTGGTTAAAAGTACTCTCCCTCCCCTTTTGGTTTGTATAGATATTTTTAAGCTGATTGACTCCAGTGATTTGGACTGTGGCTGTACTGTAAATATCTGGACTTGCATAGCTGAAGGGATGACGGAATGGATTGTGGGTGTGGAAACAACTGGCTTGAGATGGGATGGGCAGGAACTTTTTAAGCCCATTCTGTCATGGAGCCAATGTATCATATAAATTGTAGCACTGGCTAATTGGCAATTGTGACATACAGATCAGCTGATGATAGTGTAGGTAAAGTTAATACTACTTATGTCTCAAAATTAAATTACTTCAAAAAGAACACTAACAGCCTCTGCAAACTCTGCATGTGGCTTTAGTCTTCACTGAAGAATAAAGTGGTGGCTCCTGGACTAGTCTAGCATATGTTCTTCCAACTCTTCACTCCAACTTTAAATTCACCTTTTGAGTCTATGAAGTTTGTTTAAACTTCAAAGTGATTGCACTCGGTTTACGTAAGAGGAGTAATTAATTAAATATGCTATGAATGTCTGTTGCACAATGCTTAGTTTCATAGTGTTATCTATCAGGAGGAGTTTGACTTTCATTGTTGATAATCACGTGGTACTTGGGAAAGGAAGTGAAGTTTGTTTGCAAAATACCAGCAACTGTGCAAACTGTGATCTATTAACTTGCAGTCTTGGCCTTCTAAGCATAGCCTGCTCTCAAATGTGGCTGACTTAGTGGCATTCAAATTTTGAGACCTGTCCTGGCACCCGCAATATGTGGAAACCATTAAGTTTAAGTGATGGAAAACGATTTCCTGAAAAAAACAATGAAGGGAAAGTAAGAACTACAGCTTGGAAGGCCATAAATGTTGGTTTCTGAAATACTGATGAAAGAGAACTTGCTACTTGGAGACAAGTGAGATTAAGTTATCACTTGCTTACTACCACCAAACAGTTTAGAAGGCATGTCTTCTGTTTGTTTCCTGTGAGCAAGAATGATTGTTTCCATAAGGATGACTTATACCTTTGACTTGCAAATCAGACATGACAGAAATCACTCATGTGACTATGATCAGGAAAAGAAGTGTTAGGCAGCTCTTTATGGCATGAAATAAATCTTTAAATGTGTACCACCCTTCTGAAGAAGAGGAAAAGCTGTGTTGTCCTTATCTGTATATTAAAAATGGGCAGGTAAAAAGCACTTTGTACAAAAGATCTGGTAGGTGATGATTAATCCTGGTGGTTAGAGAAGACAGGCGGTTCATTCTGGAGCTATAATCAACAGCTGAAATTTTTCCCAGCCAGATGTTTCCATAAAGTGTACCTATGTATAGTTTCAAGGCACTTTCTTTGTTAAAGGTTACATAAGATGTAAGAGAAGGATATTGATGGAAACAAAACTTCACATGCCTCTTTTTGCCCCGCCCCCCCCCGGGTTACTGATTAATTCTTACAGATTCTTTAAAAATGTAGAAAAATGTTAGATCCTTAGCTTCACTTTTTCCTAAACAAAGTGAATAAGCCCCCTCAGACTTGCACCATCTGAATGAAAGAGGTTGTAAAAGCCAGGGCAAAACTGTTCCTTTAAATTCTTTTGTCACCTATGATTTCGATATTGTGACATGCTGAGCTGCCAAAACAAAAGGTTGATACCCTTAGATGCCCATAGCTACATCTAAATTGTAAAATCTGAAACATATTTGTTCTACCCACATCCTAACTATAGGTCAGGAGGACGCTAGTGTGCATGTTTTCTTTACCTTCTGATTTCATAGATGAGGAATTGAAATGTATGACCAGGGTAAGTATGTGCTTGCTTCATTGAGTCTCCTTGTTGGGCTGGTACTAAAGTGTACACCACACGAGAACACATTTCCTGCAAAATTTATCTACAAGTAAGTAGCTGTAGACAGATGTGTAGAGCTATAAAAGGAGATACTTATCTAAAGTGCTACTTTTGCATGTAACTTTTGCATGGAGCCTCCCACTTACCATAGTTTCTTCTGCACTGGAGAAATGACAGGTTAAGCACTTCACAAGTATTTTTTTACTGTAGAGTAATTGGTATAGCCTGGCGAGTGTGGAAGAAGGAAGGGAGGGCAAGCGTTCTGAAAGCTGATACATGAGAGTAAACACACTGAGCTGTTTATGCATGTCACGTGCTTATGAGAGCTGTTCACAAGATGGTGTCTCCTGGAGAACTTCAGAAAGCCTGTGGTCCTGAGAGAAGGGTAAAAAGCTAGCTGAGCCATCTGTTAATCTTTGTCAGTGAATTGAATCATCTCAGTCTGGAAAGGTGTCAGGCTTGTTCTTATTACTTCAAACTGATATTGCAAAATTCCAAAGTAAAACATGAAAGCTGGTGCTCTGAATGTGAGATTATTTATCTTTACTTAAGAAAATGCAAAGGATCTTTAGCTTTATCTTGAACAGACAGGCAGGATATGGGTTCGGATTGGGGAACTATAGGGTACTAGAATAGTCTATACTTCTGTCTTCAACCATGCTTTATTCATACTGCTTCCCCCACCTTGTGCATATATTATCACATTTACTTTTACTGTACTTCTTGGCCTAATGTTTATAAACCAATTACTCCTCTGGTAGTTAAGCAGCTTTTAAAATTTGTGTAGAGCATGTGTAAGGATGAAGTTAGATGAGATGGATGGCATAGCTGTGGAAGAGGAGGATATCCATCTTCTTTCTCTGTCATTTCTCCAGGCTCCCAATACCTCTTTGTCAGCCATGGTGCTGTTACATTTTTTTTAAAGTTTTTTTTAATTGCTTCAAGTTACTAATTCAACAGAAAGATTGGGAGGATGGAGAGAAGGAAGGTGGGGAGCTGCTTTTGGGGTTAGTGAGATGCATTAGACCACCAAAAGGTTTGATGAATGACAAAATGAATGTTAGCCAGGGAAGGGAGCAATGAAACCTATTCAGTAGTAATCTGATAAATCTGTTTGACCGTCTTGTATGATACACAGAATCACAGAATCATCTAGGTTGGAAGAGACCTTTAAGATCATCCAGTCCAACCATTAACCTAGCACTGCCAAGTCCACCACTAAACCATGTCCCTAAGCACCACACCTACACCTTACTACTTTTAATTATTTTTATTTATTATTTACTTTTTCAGGTAATTTCTTGTTACCTATATCCTCTGGACATTTTTCCTTTACCACTTCTGTTTCACATATGGTTTGTTTTCTCTCCAGTGTTTTACTTTCCCTCAGCTCTAGATAGACCTACCTTCCTCATGCCTGTTGAGGAAACAGTACTCTGCTACTATCTAAAAGTAAAAGAAGGATGAACAACCATAAATAATGGAAGAAAAAAACCCAAGGGTGTAGTATGTCTCTTGCAGCCTTTGCGGTAAGGCAGAGCCACCTTTACAGTAGGGATCTGCTATGTGCCTTGGAGGGTGTACTCATGCTTAGAAATACTTGTCTTAGAATCTACAAATTCCTTCCTGCAAAGTATGTTTAAGTGTGAATGCACTGACATATATGTTAAGTAGTTGGCCTGCATAATGATAATATGCATTTAAAGGCTGCTTTGCATGTTACATTTAAGCAAGGATTTAATGGAAGTTAGGTTCCTGGAAAGGTATGTTGGAAGAGCCTTGTTGCTATGGCATGCGAATACAGAAGTAGAGGGCATCAAATTTCCTGTAAGCTCCAGCCTCAGCTAGGTGAAGTTGGTCCCTAATTGACTGCAGGAAGCCTAAGTTTATAAAGTGGAGAGTAACTTACCTCATGCATTCATTTACTTTTATGGCTGTTACAGCTATTTCAATTATAACACTCACTCAGTAATGTGCTCTTAATAAGCAAAAATGGTCTTCTGCAATCCTGATAATGACAGGACAAATGGATTTGAAACCTGGGGAGTTATTTGTGGTTAATTGTTAATCTCCTGTTAGAAAGCAGAACTGGAGGCTGAAATGCCGAGTGTAAATTGAGGCTGAATACCAAGAAGTAGTATATGCAAGTAAAAAATTCTTAAGCATTAGAATTTTGCTCTAAAGGGAAGGGAGGGCAGTTGCTGCTTTTAGCTTGTAAATGTTAGCATTGACACTGAAGTCCTGTTGTTAAAATATTGTTACTAGGACATAGGTTTTCCACATCACTGCATCTCCTGCTTAAGTCACTAATGCATATTTTGCCCTTCAGCTATAGCTTAAAATGCAGCAGCCCTGAAGGGTCTGGTAACAAGCTGATCATGTTATAGAGATGTTAACTTTGCCTATTAAAAATAATTCAGACCTGGCCAGAGCAGAAGTTTGCTGGAATAGCTTAAAAATATGGTCAGATTGCTCTATTAGAAGGTCAAACAGTTTAACCATGTTGTAACAGATATAATAGGGACTCTTAACAGTGCTGTGGTGTGACTGGATGCAAGGAGTGCTTTAGAAGGCATTTAAAACTAGAATGTCTTGCTTCTGTGCCTTTCTCAGGCTAGACTAGTAATAAGGTTAGCCAATTCCTTTTTTCCCCTGTCTTTAAGATAGCAGTATTATAAAAGGCCAGTGTACTTAAATAATCTCAATCTGTTCGTGTTTACTTTACTTTGCTAGTTTTTTGGTATAATGACATCATGAATCAAACCTTGTTGCTGATTCATTTAATGAGCATAGTTTTAAAAAGTAGCAAACGTGTAGTAACTGAGTTTGACACTGACCCAAACTTCAAAAACAGCAAGACTGCATTTGACTTGAAAGGAATGGTCAGTATTTCTGGAGATTGGGCAGGAAATGTCAAGTTATGGATCAAGACAGAATGAATTTTTTTACAGCCTTACTCCATTGCTGTTATCTTTGCAATTTAAAACCTAAATGATTACAGAGTACATCCTGTACTAACTGATAAATTGCTGTGCTATGTTATGGCGGGGGGAGGCAGGTAACCAAAACAAAAACCAAAACAAACAAAAAAAACCTCAAAGACCAAACCTGTTCACTGATGTATTCACTAAGACATACTTGGTGTCTGCCTTGGTGACACCAAGATTATATCACTTTCCTGTCAGTGACATTCTATTAGGTTGAAAGAAAAGAAAAATTACTAGTACAACTCCAGTAATAGAATGAATGCTATGTTCATGTTGTGCTGATCTAAAATGTATTTACACTGGTACAGCTCATGATGTCTTACAGATCAGGAAAAGCTATAACACTGTAAGCATAGCTATGCTTATACTGTCTACATATAATAAGCAGAAGAGAGAATGCAAATACTCACTGCTCTTGCCAGCCAATGTGCTGGTAAAGTTACATCTGTCAAAGTCTAAAATTAGTACTTTAAAATAGGGGTGCTGCTTGGTTGAAGCTAAAATAATCTGGAATTTGGCATTTATAAGATACAAAGTTGTTGCATAAACAAACAAACAAAAATTATTAGAATGTACAGACCACCTGTGGTATGTTTGGAGGAGTATGGTATTGTCCCATAATCTGGAATGGGTAGTCTGGAAAAATCATGCCAACTCACATGATTCAGTACCAAAACAATTATTAAAATATTAAAATATATATCTTGAAATGTTCATTTTGATTTTGAAACCGTATTTTCCTTCAAAGCCATTTGGAAACTTTTCTTTCCGTAAATTGCAAACTAGTCAGCATCGTTACCGGAAGGTTTCTAGCACAAACAATGTTAGCATCTGAGAAGTGCTGTTAACGTGATAGATGAACACTACTAGCCTGTATTGTAATACAGGCTTGGCATTGTCTTTTTGCTTTGTTTTGTGCCATTGGTCATAGAGAAAACATGATTTAAAGAGCTACATTTTTAAAAACCACCAAGTGTCTTGCTGCAGAAATAGAACCCAACGGATGTTTTACTGTGAATTCTTTTTCAGCAACTTTTACTCCTCTGACTTCAGCTTTATGTAAACTTCTTGTGTTCTTGCTTTGCTTAGCCGTGAAGACTTCCAGCGGATTCCAGAGCTTGCCATCAATCCACTGGGAGACAGAATTATCAATGCCTTCTTCCCAGAAGGGTGAGTTCCAATGAACTGAATTTGTAAGTAGGCACAAAATTTGTAGTTCATCAGAAGCTTTGATAGGAGTGAAATGCTGATAATTAAAGCACAGAATTTGAATTTACTACTAATTGAACACCTCAAACATCAGCATATTTTCATTCTGTAATGAGGAATATGTCAACCTTACAAGAATTTTGTGTGCTTTATTCATTGACAAATTCAGGCTTCATGTCACAGTTTTCCACTCTTCTTGCTATGCTGCTGAATGCTTCTAAAGAAAGCCAGGGGTGTATATGGTTCTTAAAGCAAACTTGTAGCAATACTATTTTATGCTAAGTAGTTTGCAATTAACTACTTCAGACTTGTTTTTCACCGTTCTAGCCTCTAAGTGTACATTTGTTATTAGATCAGCTTTGGTTTTAGTTTTTTATCACATTTAAGACATAGCTTATGGTACTTCTAACATAAATCCAAAGAAATAATCAAATTTGCAGTACTGTCTCTTCATTATAGCTCTCTAGATTGCTGTATGGAGTCTGCTTCTCTTCTTGAACACATTTGTCATTACTGGTTGATGAAGATCATATTGTTTAATCAAGTGATAACATCAGCTAATACGAGGCAGGGTTTCCTGAATAGGAAGCAGGAGTCCTGGAAAGTACTTACATAGCTGATTCCCACAGAAGCTCTAGAGAATTTGAGCTGTTTGTCAGGGAGCAGTGAGCAATGGCTGTTCCACAATAGGAGGCAAAGGTGACAGCAAAGATAGCAGGGACAATGTACTTGCTGACAAAGGGCATAGCACCTGAACAAGAAAAGCATAGCAGGTCCAGTGACTTGGTATGTCAGCCAACAGTTCAGTGGTTGCCAGACAAATTGACAGTGGTGAAGCAAGTCTCAGGTCAGTCCAGGGAGTAAGGGTCCAGATCAGCAAGATACGTTTCTGGACTCTGGCATAGCTGCAGGACAGCTCAGGCAAGGGCCAAGGGTGGGGGCTTGAACTTACATAGAACTTGTGGGTGAGGTGGGGGGGCCCTCAACAAGACTTCTCACAGCTCCTTTTTTTTTTTCCACACATCATACTTCACAGCAGCATGATCCCAGGTTGCAACTGCACTGTATCAGAGCTGGGTTTGAGCATAGGCAGCCAAACCCTGGGGAGGTGGAAGAGTCTGCGTGGTCTTGATGCTTTAGACATTCACAACCTTACTGAAATAAAGAACCTGTATAAGCTATGCTAAAACTGACCTGCTGAAATACTTATGCAGAGAGGACCAGGTGAATTTCCGTGGATTCATGAGGACACTAGCCCACTTCCGACCCATAGAAGATAATGAAAAGAGCAAAGACCAGAATGGACCGGAACCACTAAACAGCCGAAGTAACAAGCTCCACTGTAAGAAATGTGAACCTTCCTACAGAAGCAATTAATTGTCTTTTTCTGTTTTTCTGGGAAGAGAGTGAAGGGGCTTGGAGTCTTCTGTACAGTTGTTCCTTGAGGAATACCTCTAATACCTGATTTTTTTTTTTAAATCAACTTGCAAGCTTACCTGTTCAGAATGTCAACAATTGCCCCATTCTTTTATTGGAATTTGGTGGAATTGGTTGAATCTTGAGTAATGTATATGCTTTTCCAAACATCTCAATAGAAGTGTTTAGAAATTGTTTGCATCCAAAGTTATTTCAGATTTAGAAGCCACATCCAATGGGCTTCTTGGCTTCGTTCTCCAGTCTTCCATATAATATAGTGGTTTTTCCTCACCTTCAGCCAAGTACTTTCTTGACTATTTGGACGTCTGCCTACAGTATATGAGCAGAATGCTCTTGCTTGCTAATCAAAGTTGGCAACAGTCCTCAGATCCTCAGAGCCCTTAAAATTTCTGTCATATCTCATCCAGAATATTGTTAAAAAGAATGAATGGTAGTGTAAAAATGGTTGGCTCTGAAGTTAAAGGATTGAATGTATCTTAGTGGTAATTATACTTCCATGGCTTGAGGCTTTGAAGAAATACCTCTCCAAGCAGAGTGCTTCTGAATGTACTCATACTCTTACTTAAGTAAGATTTTTCACTTCTTGGCAGTAATGTTATTCTTGTATGTGGTAATAGCACTTTATGGAACTGAACATGAATTTTATGTTAAATTAGAATTCTAAGCTAATTGTCTTAAAATGATTTATGAATACCTACAGTTTTTTGTTTGGTTTTTTTAGATAAATGTATTGTTATAAAGAAAAATAATGGCACTTGAATTAAACTGCTCATTCTTTTCTTCCCTGTAGTTGCTTTTCGGTTATATGATCTAGATAAAGATGACAAGATTTCCAGGGACGAGCTTCTTCAGGTAAATATCACAGGGCTGCTTTGAATTACTGCATTGTGACCTTCCCTGACTTCACGCTCATTTAGAATGAAGGGAGCTACAATAGTCTTCTCAAAATAAATCCGGAGGAATTTGGTGGCTAATTGCTTATCTTTAAACCAAAGCTTTAGATATAGTATGAGACTTTAATCTCATTTGATAGCCCAGGCTGTTCAGTCAGACTGGGAATGCTAGATTCAAATTTAAGCCAGAGCATTAGGCTAATCAGATCATGTTGGATATGATACCTAAATATTCTTTACCTTTCAAAGGTGTTTCTAACAGGACTTCACAGGGACGATCCTTGATGTGGATTAGGTTGTTTGCCTGATCCTCTGTGCATCCTCTCAATAGAATAAAACTTTTTGAAATTGCAGCAAAGGTAATCAAAGTTCATCAGTGCTGCATATATGTGAAACTAGGCTTGAGCTAGGAGTAATTACATATTACTAATCCTGGGAAGTAGACATGGCAATTTGTGGTTCCTGATGTAGGATAAAGATTTGCTTTTGACTGAAACTGCCCTCTTCTGCCTGCACAGAAAATGGTTTACTAACTGTAAAGAGTAATGGTAGTTATCATTGGACCATATACTTAAAATATTCCTGTAGGCAACTATCTCAAACAGCAGATACTCATTCAAATGTTGGTATGTTTTGTGTGGGGGAAAAAATAGATGAAAGCATTGGAACAAAAGGTACTCATTCCTAGTTCAAAAGATTTCTCATACTTTTACCTCTTCCTGCTGCCTAGTGAAAAAGCAGGATTCTTTTGTCAAAGGTGGCTACAAAAGGAAGGTGTCTTTCCTGAAAGCCTTGGTGTGCAAAGGACAAATAGAAATCTGTCTAGAAGTTAATTCCATGGAAATCCTCCAGAGTTGTTCTTGTATGGTGTTATTTTGGCAGTACACACAAGAAAAACAGCACTAAGAATACTTCTGTTCCTGTATCAATAATGGTTATTTTGTTATTTAAAAAAATCTGGGGACTTCTGTATGTTACAGGTATTACGGATGATGGTTGGTGTAAACATTTCAGATGAGCAGCTGGGCAGTATTGCCGACAGGACAATCCAGGAAGCTGATCAAGATGGGGATAGTGCCATCTCCTTTGCAGAGTTTGTAAAGGTTGGTAAACTATATTTTTAATGACTAAATGAAACTGCTCAGTAGCAGGCAAGTCATTTAGACTTAAATGCAAATGGATACGGAGAGGAAGCCATTCAAATAGTCCTGCCTGTCTGCATTTGGGCAAAGCAAGCCTTCTGCTAGCTCTTCTTTTTTTTTATCAAGACATTTTTTTTCTTTTTTATACTGTCAGGGTACTAATAATTAATTGATATGTTTTTTCATACTCTTGCATAAGCTACAGCACTGAATATACTGCAGAATTTCCACTTTTTTCTTTTGAAACTGCTGTTTTCTACACAAGTAACCTGACTAGCACAGTCACAATAGAGTAATTCTTCTACTATAATTGTGCTGATCGGTCTTCACTTGTAGATTTTGCCCATTAGCAGCACAATTAATATCAGTATTCAAGTTCCTAGCTCTAGTCCTTTGAATTACATCTTTTGTTAGTCAGAAATGGGTAATAATAAGGAGCTGTTATATAGTCAGTGGAGAAAGTTGTCCTATAGCAGAATAATTTCAACTGCCTAATGGGATGGCATTGACCAGAGGAACCAGGCTCACCTTGGAGGTGGATGAAGACAGGACAAGATGCAACAGAAACAAGTTGCAACATGAGAAGTTCTGGTTACCTATAAGGAAAACTTTTTACCAAGAGCATGATCATAGGTGCTGAAGATGTAGAACCTCTTTCCTTGGAGATATTTAAAACTTAACTGGAAAAGGCCCTGAGCAACCTGATCTAGCTGGCCCTGATTTAAGCAGGAGTTGAGGGAGTTGGACTGAAAGACCTCTGGAGGTCTCTTAAAATTACTCTGATCTTGAAACACTGAAGTCTACTGCCTGAAACAGCCTGGACCAGACTAATGTCTTTGTACTTCAGTGTTAATAGCAATTCAGTGAATGAAGCTGCAGCCCCAGTTTTATAACGATCTGCGTTAGTGACGCTGTAGTCTTGATTTTAGCTCTTCAGTGACTGCTCATGCACCTTCCTCTGCTCTGTTCTCCCTTCTGTTTCCTGGCCATGCATTCCCACACAATCTAATTTTGGGAATCCAAGCCTTTCTGGGCTCTTGGCAGACTGAAACTGCATTAGTTACATTTTGGTTGACAGCCTTCTTCCAGCTTTAATGGCTGAAGTTCCTTTCCTTGGAAGGACCTTAGTCCAGAATGAAAAATAGCAGTCTCTAGATGAAAGACTGGCATGCCAAATTGAAGACATCCCATGTTCCTGCCCATTTCCTCTATACTTGAGTAAGAAACCTTGTAGGAAAGAAGTATGTACAGTAACTTAAGTAGCTGTTTCTGAATTTTCTTGCAGGTTTTGGAGAAGGTGGATGTAGAGCAGAAAATGAGCATACGATTTCTTCACTGATGGATGGAGAACCTATTCCTTTCTACCCCTACTATATAATGAATAGAACCTCATTCTCTCCTTAGCACCTTCCCCAGAGCATTGCTACTGGTGTGTACACAATGCATCTCCAACCCCTCTCTGATTTATTCTACCAATGTGAACATTCCCTGTGCATCAGGAACAAAGGGAAATGGCTGCCATGCAACTTGGAAAGGAGCATTTTTAAAAAAAAATCTTCCAATTTTTTTTACCCTTTCTCCCTTGTCTCCTTCTGCACTACTGTTTCAGCAAAAATATCTCTCCTTATGTACTGCTGTTTAATCTACAAACTGATTCTTCTGAGCTCTGAATCTGAGAATGGAAAAATGGGAACATGACACATAAGTGCCCTCTGAAACACTTTGGAGACAAGCTCAAATATCTACTCAAATACTAGGTGCAGTGATAATGATTCAGTCTTGCTTCCAGCAGCAACACCACATTACAGCTGCCTTTTTTTTTACCCATTTGGCTCTTTACATGCAGATTTGTTTCTTCCCTGCTTCCAAATCTGCCTTTTACCTGAGGACTTCCCAATTTCTATGGCTTCATTGTACAACTAGCACTGAATGCATGATGATAGCGTAGAGTACTTTAAAGTACTGTGAATGGATTTTATTCTTTGTGGGATGAATTCACAGGGACAATAGAAGAATCTGTGGGGGAGACAGGCTGTGGTGTCCTCAAAAGGAATAGGAATTCTGCACGAAGTCACTGAAATTGATCCTGTAGCAGATGCAGAAACTTGCTGTTTCTTTTGAGTAGCTTGCAGGCTTGGCAGCCAGTGGACCATGAAGTGTCCTGTCCAGGTTGCTTTGCTCTCTAGGATCCCTCCTCTCATCAGGGTGGTTTTGCCTCTGAAAGTGTAAACTTGTTTACCAGTGTACATAATGCAAGAAAACTAGTTATGCCAAAACCTGTATTTGTAGTTCTGTCACTGCCCCCTGGTAATAGAGTCATGAAACATAGTACTGATTTTTTTTTTTTCAGTCACAGTGACCTGGATAATCAGTACTTATTTATATTTTCCAGTATGGAAGTCCTGGTCTGTTAGATTTTTGTTGAGGGTGGTAGCTGTATTTATGAAAGCTCTGGCATAAAAATGTATTTCAGAATATATTTCTACACAAAGCTTTTTGCAAGTGTAAGATAATTAATACCATTAATATAATGCTAATAAATTCAAGAAGTCAAAGTTATGGAAGGTTCAACAGTAACAGTTTTCTGTGGCTAGATTGGCAAATGTTTTCATCGTTCAGCTGGAACATCCAGTCTGAGAGGTCCTTCCAATAAAACAAAAAAACCCTGGGAGCTTCTCTACTGAAGAATCAGTGTTATAACTGCTTCTCTATGTCATGTGTTAAAATTTCTATAAATATTTACCAGTCTCAAACTACCCTCATATGTGCACTTCCTTTTTTTCCTCAGTTCCTTTAACCATTACTTGTGTTAAAGAATAACATGCAAGTCTCTAAAGGATTTTTGATGTGTTTTTAAATTAAGGAATTGCAAAGTGAAATGTTGCACTTCATTGTTTTGCGGAGTGCAGCACAATTCCAGGCAGAAATGTAAATTAAAAACCTCTACTTTATATGAGAAAAACATTATAGTTTTATGACCATGTCATGTAAAATAGGAATGTAACAATGTTAACAGATTGAAAAGTAAAAAAAGTGTTTGTAGGCTTTGTGATTTGCTTAAAAGTAGGTGTTGCTCTCTTCTGGCTATATAGTTGTAACCTACAGTTGTGCCTTATTGTCCCAATGAGACTGGATATTGTATTTATCAATCCATAAATAAACCCTCCACTGTATTAAAAAAAAAAAACCACCAGAGCTATTCCTGTATGGTAATTTACCATCCTTTAATGAAGAGAAAAGTTAAATACCACTAGAATGGTGCTAGCAGGCCTTACACATAATGTTTTTTATAACTGAGCTTGTTCTCAGAGTATTGAGTCCTTCATTCTGCTGGTAGAGTAGAGTAAACGAGTGCAAAACATGAGTTCCGGAAGAGGACATGTACTCATAATACTGTACTATGGATCGTATAACATCATGAGCTTTACACCTCTTCATGGTTCCAATCTAGGGTTTTTTCCCTCTCTGTAGTGTTGTTGTAGTTAGAGAGTACATAATAAAAATGCTAGTTTGTGATGTCCATCCTAGAAATCAGATATTTTTGCTGATGTGCTTTAAGGTGAACATAAACACTCAACACAAACATAAATAAGTGCACACAAAACCCACAACCAAAATAAAGACCACCGAACCCTCCTCCAGTAATAAACAAACCAACTAATTATCAGAATTTAACTTTGCTGTTAGCTGCATAAATCATATGGAAGCCACTGAGTATCTTGCTCAGTGTTCTGAAATCTATATGTTCAACATATAACTTAAAAGGTGGCAGAAAAACAAGTTTTACAGAGCTGATATCTTGAATTTATGTTAAGTTTGTTCAAAACTAAGCTGTACAGATATAAGCAGATCTCCACAAAAGTAATATTTTTAGCATACCTGATTGCTTGTAGAAATGATCTTAAGTCTTGTTGAGAACAAAGGTCATTTTTGAAGGTTAAAGTCAGGAAAAGGGATAAGATTATCAGCTTAAAGGCAGAACTGCTTTATATTTCATCTTTCTCTTTTGAAAAAGGAGTATAAGGTATAGGTATTTAAGTACAGATGAACCATTTTCCACTCTACTGGTAAATGGGAAGTGAAGTCTTATTTTTCCAATCTGCAGACTCAGATTTGTTATACTGAGAATCTCTGGATGGTTGGCTGCAGAAATCTACGGTTAAAATTAGTTTTCATTATCTCCTAGAGTATAATGAAGACTACAGAAAGCAGAAATATGTTTGATAGCTAATAAATACGGAAAGGTGGCAAATGAATTTTGACTTAAATAGCTGTAGGCCCATTAGCTTGTCATCAAGTCTGGGCAAAAGAAAAGAATCTGAATATGGGATTTGACTCATGAAGAGCAGGAGTAAAAATGATGTTAGTTTCCATAAATTTATAATGGAAAATTACTTGAAAATTCAGCTTTCAGTTCTTTGAAACTACAGCTTTGGTTGTAAATAGTGTGTGGATATAATATTTAAATTGGCAGAAGTGTTTCATTTAAGCTGATAATCTGCATCAAAACACTATGTGGTAGAAAAACGTGTATTAAATGGATTAAGATTTCAACTGAAATGCCTTATAGTTGTCTGTGATGAATCATGGTTAAATGGGGGTGTTTCTTGAGAGTTTTCTTGAATGGGTAAGTACTTTTCAGTGTTCAATACATTCACCTGTTGGCTTGAAGTGTAAAATCACTGCTGAAAAAAAAAAAAAATTTTTTTTGCAGATGACACAAAAACTGCCAGGATGAATAAAGGCAGCTATTCAGAGCAATCAAGATTGCTTCATAACCACGGCCCATGCAGGCGGCTGTGGTGGTTCACAGCCGGGATTTAACACGCAGTTCGGCGCGGGGGTGGGCCGCTGCTGTGCGGTGTAATGGAGGAGACGGAGGCGCGCCAGCAGCAGCGCGAGTGGTCAGCAACGGTCACCAACGGTCGCGCCCTGGGGTTCTTCAAAGGAATCCCGGGTCGAACAGGCCGTGCCTGCCAGGCACCAGCCGGGTACAAGGAAGTGACCGGGAGCCCCGCGACGCCGGATGCCGGCCTGCACCGCAGGCTCTGGGTAGGCTGCGGCCAACCCCGTAGCTCAAGGCAAGTGCTGGCAGGGCTGCCGGAATGGGGCCGCAGCGGCCTC